TTTTTGAGCTGGAGGTGGCTGATTTGGAGCTTCTTGAGGCGCCAGGAGTGTACCCGAGAAACCAGTTGGGCCCCTTGTCTGGACCTGTTCTTGGCGTACCCGTGCGCGCGGTGCGGCAGGGGGGGCTTGCGAAATCTCGTAAAAAGCCCACGGTACCATGCCTTGCCAAAAGGACAGAAACCATGAATCAGCCTCATCGCCTTCGTACTCATCTTATCATTCCCTTTGTCCAACTGAAATGTCCTGGACCAGTGCCACCAGGCAGGCGTGCGGCAAGACAGGCGAATCTGTCGGAAAAGGCCAAGCAGCCTCTCACAAACTCGCGGACACTGATCATGGCGGGGCTGACTGCGATGAGGACCAGGACGACCCTCATCATCGGGGGCCAGACCTTCGCCACGGTGCTCTCGGGTGGTCGCTACCTGCAACAAAGCGAGCCAGACCTCCGCGGGGGCGGAGTGGGTCGGCGCGAAGCGGCGCCGCGCTGCTCGCTTCAGTGCCTGGAGGGTGTGGGTCCAGTCCTCATAAGCTGCGTCGCCAGGATTGCCTCGAACAGCCTCGCCATCAGGGTCATCCTGCGCACGAAGGGCCAACGCCACCTCCGCGGGGAACTCGGGCTCAGGGACCTGGACTGCAGAGAAACCACCAGCAGCTGCAGGAGCCTGCATCGTCTCGGTCCACTCATCTATAGTGGGCTGGTAGTGCGGCAATGTGTTGAAGCGCCGACGGCGGACACCATGGTACCTGGCCCCGATCTGATAGGCGAGCCTCCACACGGTGTTGGTGTGACCCCTCTCGGATGCATGAACAGCTTCACGTAGGAGGGCCTCGACATGTTCTGTATCCAATTTCTTTCTCGTTCGCCTAATTTCTCGCTCACAAGCCCGCACAGCCAGTCGATCCTCCTCGCTGAAGCATCGCCTTCCGAGAGTCCGCCTCTGAGCCAGCCAGGTGTCACGAAGCTCCATGTATTTGCGAGAAGGACCAGCAGCATCGGGTACCTCACAGGCTTCATGTGCTGCCGCTCGAACATCCTCGACCAACGACTGCCATGCCTCGGACGGGTCATCTGTACGAACCTGCCGCTGCCAAACACTCGCATGTCGCTCGGACAGGCGCTCGATCTCCGCCATGAAGGTGAGGTCCCCTTCATGCTGGAGGAGTGCGGCAATCTGGTCATAGTCCCAGCGAGGCTCCACTTCCTGCGGGGGCTCAAAGTGGAGCCTGTAGTGGAGGCGCCAGAGGAGCGGACAATGATCGCGAGGAGCCGCGTGAGGGATCTTCTGGAGGTCTCTCATGGCCGAGCGCAGCGTGCAGCACGAGGCGGTCTGCGGCACCGTGTCGCGCGGCGCGAAGAAGTGATCTGGGTTCGAGCGGTGGTGATCCTCTTGGCCGAAGTACGTCGGCCCCGTCGGAAAGAATGTGTCGATCGCCGAGAGGCCTTCCATGCGCATGACGCGCCAAAGCTCGGACGTCGTGTAGTTCTCGAAGGCCAGCTGATGTCTGCCCGTGTGCAGGTCGTCGGCCGTGAAGGAAGGCATCCCCTGGAGGGCCGCCGTCTTGCCGAAGCCAGAGTTCGTGTCGGCACCAATGAGCACCAGTGCCCGCCTCGGGGCGGCCTGGACCGTGTGGTGGATCCACTGCGTGAGCTTGGCCACGGTCGCCTTCCAGGAGTCGACTTGGTGACGCTGGGGTGGCGGGTAGTATGCCGTGATCGCCAGGATGTCAAAATACGAGCTGCGAAAGCGAACGGCTCCTCCTCGGCCTCTGAGGTCTCGTGGAGGCTCGATGATTTCTTGTATGTGACACCTTCTGAAAGCTCGAGACCTGAGCAAGATGCTGCAGCCCGCGCTCTTGTTGGTCATCGATCCTCTCTGCCAGCCAAACGACAGGTGAATGTGTTTGGCTGTCCTCGACATTGTCACGGGGTCACCCGCACGACGACGGGCTTGCGTCCCAGGGCACAGCACAATGTCGGCGAAAGACAGCCGAGCAGAGACATCATGGACGCGCCAGGCGTCCGAAAGAGAGAGTGGATTGTATAGTATCGTCTGAAGAAGTGAAGCCCACATGGGCGGGTGGGAGCGGTCTGCAGGCGGGGGTGGTCACCTGCGGGGAAACAGGAACAGAGGGCCGCTCTCCTCCTGGGCCTGGGCCAGGGCCTAGGAGGAGGAGGAGGAGGAGGAGGAGGAGGAAGGAGGAGGAGGAGGAGGAGGAGGAGGAGGAGGAGGAGGTGGAGGAGGAGGAGGAGGAGGAGGAGTCTTACGCTTCCCTGGCCCGTGGGCGCCCTCGGGCGCCCCCCGTGGCCTCCCCGTGTGCCCGCTGGCGGTGTTGGCCGGACCTCCCGGCCAGCGTGCGCCTGCCGGGCGGCCGCCAGGCCTGCGGCCGGTGGGCGCCCCGCGGGCGCTATAGCTGTCGGGCCGCTCGGCCGACCTCCTCCGCATGTCGGCCGCGCTCGCAGGACGGCCTTGCCGTGGTCCCAGCCGCGTCGCCGTGGCCGGGCGGGGGTGCCGTGTCGGGGTGCCGCCTCGCCACGCCTCCCGGCTCCTGCGCCCCTCCCCTCCGCGCCCGCTAGCGACCGACGTAAGTCGGGCCGGGCGAAAGGGGGGGATTGGGAAAGGGGGGGTTACGAAATTTGCGGCATGCAGCTGGTGTCGGCCTCACCGAGGGGCCCATTCCTCGATACATAGCCGCCTCCAGCGCCGGGAGGCGCCGGGAAAATCAGCTACGTGAGCTGATTCTCAAACCCCCCCTTTGCTATCCCCCCCTTTCGCCCGACCCGAAGCTGGCAGGGCTCGTGTCGACTCCGATTCGGTTCGATGCGATTCGATTTCGAGGGCCTCCGATTCCGATCCGATTCGACTCGGGATTCCGATTGGGGTTCTGGTTTCTCATCGGAGGCATACCAGCCTGCCGGTTTCTGCCGATTCGACCTTTCCCGACTCGGCTGCCGATTTTTGCCGATCCGACTCATGTCGACTTCCGATCCGACTTGTCGATTCGATTTTGGGCTCTCCTGGCTGGGGTAGCGTGCGCCTGCCGGGCGGCTCCGGGCCTGCGGCCGGGGGGCGCCCCGCGGGCGCCAGCTGTGGGGTAGCGTGCGCCACACGCCTGTGCCCACGTCTCGTATCGCACAGGGTGCGCATACACTCCAGGCGATGCTTAAGAAAACCCAAGTTTTCGGCCAGAGTCTCGATTATTCTTAATGCTTCAATGTAAATCCTAAGTTTTTCATAGAAATGTTGGGTTTTTTATTCAAATTCTGAGACTATGAATTTCTTAACCCATGATTTCTAAAGGATTTCGTAGGGTGTACATGCGTACCTACGAGTCCAGCATGGCCTGGTTGGCTTGGGTCCAATGTGCAGCTCTCGCGATGCTTCCGGGCTCGTCACGTCGTTGCACGCCGGTCGTTGGAAGCAGGGGTTCTTGCACCCCCAGATCCGAAATCCACCCTGGCCGCCTTCCCGCGTCCCTCCTCTCTGCAGGGGGCGGAGACCCGATCTACTTCAGCGCCTTCCTGCGTCATGCTTCTACCCGGAGACCCGATCTACTTCAGCGCCTTCCTGCGTCATGCTTCTACCCCCTTCTTCCGACCGACGGGCACAGCGATCGCCAAGCCCGCTCGGCCGACCTCCTCCGCATGTCGGCCGCGCTCGCAGGACGGCCTTGCCGTGGTCCCAGCCGCGTCGCCGTGGCCGGGCGGGGGTGCCGTGTCGGGGTGCCGCCTCGCCACGCCTCCCGGCTCCTGCGCCCCTCCCCTCCGCGCCCGCTAGCGACCGACGTAAGTCGGGCCGGGCGAAAGGGGGGGATTGGGAAAGGGGGGGTTACGAAATTTGCTGCATGCAGCTGGTTTCGGCCTCACCGAGGGGCCCATTCCTCGATACATAGCCGCCTCCTGCGCCTGGAGGCGCCGGGAAAATCAGCTACGTGAGCTGATTCTCAAACCCCCCCTTTGCTATCCCCCCCTTTCGCCCGACCCGAGTAAGCTTGACACGCGCGCAGCTAACATGATCCCGCGTTCGGGGAGACGGTCTCCGGGGGCGAGCGAGGTGGTGAAGCGAGAGGGAGAAGGCCTGTTCAGAAGGCGGCGGGACTTCTCAGAAGCCCTCGCGCGTTCTGAGGAGCTTTCTTTGTCTTTGGGGAAGGCTGAGGAAATTTCTTGACGCTTCGCGTATCCCCACCAGCCCATCCTACATCAGGCACTCGAACGAAGAGCGCCGATGATCGGCAGCTGTTCTCCTCCCCTCTTCCTCCTTCTCCTCCGCCTTCTCCTCCTCCTCCTCTCCTCCTCCTCCCTCTCCTCCTCCTCCTCCTCCTCCTCCTCCGCCTCTTCCTCCTCCCTGGTGGCGTATTGGAAGTGTCTTCGAACGTTTTGGTGGGCTCTTGGGCCTTGCGGGCGGGCGGGCGGCGCTCCGCCCGCCCGCGCGCAGGGCCCAAGAGGGGGTCCAAGACGTCTCTCGGAGCCATCTTGGAGGAGATCGATCAACGAAGGGGGGGTCCTAAATTTCAGCCCCCCCCTCAGGAGCCACGATCCTCGTGAGGGGTGTCGAATTTTAGCCCTCCCAGGGGTCGATCTTGGACGCTCTGACCGATCGCGGCCCCCCCTGTCCAGGTCAGTGGGGAGGGGGTAGGGGGAGGGGTAAACCCCTCCCCGAAGGGGAAGAAGGAGGGGTGGAAGAGGAAACGCTCTAAACCACCGACGCCCAGAGGGCTGGTGGGACTTCTCGGAAGGCCAGGGGACTTCCGAGCCTTCTGAGAAGGCCCGCCCCTTCTTACTTCCCCCCCGCGCTTGCCGCAAGGTCTGAGAGGTGTGAGGCGAAGGGAGCTCGGGACGTCGAAACCACACCATCATCAGAATCCCCCCTATCTTCCTGTCCTTCCTTGCCGTGGTGGCAGTGTTGGTGCTGCTGACTTCTTGCCTGGACTCTTTGCTCTTGTCGCGTGGCAGCCGTCGGCGGTGGCTGAGTGGTCCATTGAGTCCGCGGTGCCGCCCACAGACGCCTCGACATTCGACTGCTTCAAGGACCTCGACAGGTGGAGGCTGGAACGCGCCCGCGTCCCCCCCGCTGCGCACTCTTGGTGATGTACTTCCTTGTCAGGCCAGCGCAGCCATAAACAATAGTGTTGGGCGAATGATTGAAGTTGTGGCGAGATCATAGTAGCGTAAGATAAGGCGCGAGCTCTTGACTCTGATAGAAGGCTGCGCGTGCGTCTATCTTATCTGAAGTGTGCTGCAGGGGCCTGGTTTGCAGGGGGGGGCGCATGGTTGCTTTGCAGGAGGTTGCAGGGTATTGTGATTGTGTGTGTTTCTTTTTTCCCGGCCACCCCGTGCTGAGTTGGGTCCTCGTTTTGAATCAGCAGCGCCCAGTGTCCCTCCTCCTCCGCCCCCCTCCCCCCCTCTCCCATCCTTGTCTCTGCCCTCCGCACGTTCACTTCCGCACACCCCTCACTTCGTGGCCCCATAGGGAGCTCCAGCGGAGGCCCAAATGTTACGGTCCGCATGGCGTTGGCGCTTTATTCCGGCACGCCCGCACGCGATTCATGGCCTCGTAGGGAGCTCTAGTTACGGCGCAAATGCCGAGGTGTCCATTTCGTCGTTGCCCCATTTCGGCACACCCTTCACACGCTTGGTGTCCCCACAGGGAGCTCAAGCCAGGGCCCAAATGCCAGGGTCCGCATGGCGTCGGTGCCTCATTTCGGCACGCCCTTCACACTTTCGTTGCTGCGTGGGGGGCTCCAGCTAAGGCCCAACTGTCGGAGTGCACGTGGCGTCGGCGTCGCATTTCGGCACATCCATCACACGTGCGTGGTCCATAGGGATTTCACGACGGTGCTCACGAGTGCGTATGGTTGGGCCCTTCGCCAGGATAGTTAGTTGTGCAAGATCGTGTTTCCTGAATTTGATGGCGGTGCGGCGAGTCCCCAGGGTGGGGGTACACCTTAGGCGATGCCTAAGAAAACCTAAGTTTTCGGCCAGAGGCTCGATTATTCTTAATGTTTCAATGTAAATCCCAAGATTTGAATAGACATTCTGGGTTTTTATTAAAGTTCTGAGACTATGAATTTCTTAACCCATGATTTCTAAAGCATTTCGCAGGGTGTATCTCATTCCCGGAGGGGTGTTTCCAATAGCCGACCTGCTAAAACCACTCAAACGGCCAGAGGACTGGTGGGGTTGATTGGTTGGTTGACTGCATGATTGATGGATGGAGTGTTGGATTGATCTATCGATGGAGTGCGCCTGCTCCAGGAACGTATCGACGTCCTGGTCAGCACGGGTCGGTGTTGTGCTGGCGGGGCGGGGCGTCTGTGCCAGAGTAGAAGACTGTGCACATCCTCGACCACAAGCCCACGCGAGCGTTTCTCGGGACGGTCCAGGATTTGCAACTTGCGCAGGCCATGTGCGCAAACAGAAACAGGCGTACGGTAGGTTCGTGTCGTGTCGACCGTTGGCGACCCCGCCAGCGGCGTTCAACCTTGAACGCCGCGGGCGACCCAGAATCGTTCGATGTGGAACGATTCGGACGTTTCGGAAACGGCCGATCGTTCAAGGTTGAACGATCCCCGCGGTGTCAGAAACCAACGCTGGGGTCGACACGACGCGAACCTGCCGTAGGACTCCCAAGAGAAGCATCTGGAGTGGCCCAACACATGCCGCTGAGCACGTGAACACGAAGACATCGCTGACGTAAGCATCACGGCCCAGGGGCCCAGGGCCTCGCCACTCAAGGGATTTGCAAGCACAGTAACCTCTAAGGGCCACTGCTCCCTCGCAGATTTCATGCCAGGGCCAGGAGTGCTGCTTCGGCGGAAATCAGTGATGATCTTAGAGCTGAGTGGCGCACATGGCCAGGGTCCATGCAGAGGGAAGGGACAAGAGAAAGGGGGATGAGAAAGAGAGAGAGAGAGAGAGAGAGCGGAATATGGAGGGGAACTCGCCATGGTGCATTTTGGGGGTATCGCATTCCGTTGCTACGGTTCATCTAATGGCCTCTGGCACACCCAGCCACCGTGCCTGGCTTTGGGGTGAGAGAAGCCTGAAGGCGGTTTTGAGGCCTCTTGTGGCGCTGTTTTGGGGTCTTTTGGGGTCTCTTTTGGGCCTTTTGAGGACCTATTGGTCTCGTGGGGACCTCTTGGGAGTCTCTTTGGGCCTCTTTGGGGACTCCTTGGGCTTCCTGGGTGCCTCTTGCGGCGGGATGTTCGGATTTTCGGTTCGTTTTCCCCCTCTTGGGCCCCTTTTGGGCCGTCTTGGAGCCCTCTTGGGCCGTCTGGGGCGTCTCTTGGGCCGTCTGCGGCCCTCTTTGGCCCCCTTGAGGGCTTTTTGAGTGCGTCTGGGGCCGTCTTGGGGCGGTCTTGGGAGCCTCTTGGGACGTCTTGGAGCGTCGTAAGCTCGAAAAGTGGGAGCCCCAAAAACGTTGAATTGTTCTGGCCGTATGACCCTACATGAGATTTTTTCCAGCTGCTCTGGCAGCGCACCTCGTCTTCCTTTTCGTCCTTCTCCGGTGCGCTGAGCAAGCCGCTCAAACGATGCTCCCGCTCGAGATCTGCTCAAAATTCAAGTCTCAGGAGCGCCAATTTAGCGACATTTACATGGTCCAGATACCCCATTTAGATTAAAACATAGGGCCCCGCTCGAGGCGTCCTCTCGATTCACTCCCACAAAGGCTTCCCCTCGAGACTTCCTGAATATTCGAGCCTCAGGAGTCCCAGACTTGGCGACAGTTTCATGGTTCCGATACCTTGCTCGCTTTAAAACTTGGGGTGCGGACCAAATGGGGAGGGGCTCGCGCTCGAGGCGTCCTCGCGATTCACTCACACACGAGGCTCCCGCTCGAGACTTCCTCAATATTCAAGTGTCAGGAGCCAAGAAGTGACGACACTTAAAAAGGGTTTCGATACCCAGCTCGAACTAGCAACATGGGTTGGGGCCCCAATAGGGAGGAGTCTCCCGCTCAAAACTTCCTTGCGATTCACTCACGAGGATCCCGCTCGAGACTTCCCTCATAGTCAAGTCTCAGGAGTTCCAGAGCGACGACAATTACAAATTTGAATACATCGCTCGTTCAAAAAAACCCGGGGTGGGGACCCCACAGGGAGGGGCTCCCGCTCGAGGCGTTCTCGCGCTTCACTCACACATAGGGCTCCGTTCGAGACTTATTCACGTTGAGTGTGTGACGGTGATCGCGTGTGTGGGTGTGCAATGATCATGATTCTGATGATGATGATGACAATAATGATGATGATGATGATGATGATGATGATGATGATGATGATGATGATGACGACGATGATGATGATGATGGTAATGATGACGATGATGATGATGATGATGGTAATGATGACGATGATGATGATTTTGATGATGGTGATGATGATGGTGATGATAATGATGCTGATGATTGTGGTGTTGGTGGAGGTGACGATGATGAGGCTGATGCTGATGATGATGATGATGATGCTGCTGATGATTATGATGACGATGCGGATGATGATGATGATGACGATGATGATGCTGATGCTGATGCTTCTGAAGCCGATGAGGATGCTGCTGCTGATGATGATGATGATGGTGACGGTGATGATGAAGAATGAATTGTCATGCTGATCATGATTATGATGATGACGATGATGATGATGATGACCATGATGATGATGATGATGATGCTGATGATGATGATAATGCTGAACATGATGAATATTATGATGCTGACTTCGATGTTTATGATGATGACCATGATGGTGATGATGGTGATGATGGTGATGATGATGGTGATGCTTATCATGTTCATTATGCTGTGGATGATGATGATGATGATGATGATGATGGTGATGATCATGATTGTGGTGATGATGTTAATGATCATGGTGAGGACGATGATGATGATGATGATGATGATGATGATGATGGTGGTGATGCTGATGATAATGATGATGCTGATGATGATGATGATGATGATGGTGCCGACGATGCTCATGATGATGGTGGTGGTGGAGGTGATGATGATGCTAGCAATGATGATGATAATGATGATGATGCTGCTGATGATGTTGACGACGACGATGATGCTGATGCTGATGCTGATGATGATGATTTTGATGATGATAATGATGATGATGATGATGATGATGATGATGATGATGATGATGATGATGATGATGATGATGATGATGTAGATGATGATGATGCTGATGATGATGATGATTTTGATGCTGATGCTGATGTTGATGCTGATGCTGATGCTGATGCTGATGCTCATGCTGCTGATGATGATGGTGGTGGTGGTGGTGGCCATGGTGATGATGCTGCTGATGATGATGGTGATGTTGTTGATGATGATGATGATGATGATGATGATGATGATGATGGTGATGATGATGATGGTGAGGATGAGATGGTGAGGATGAGTGTGAGATGAGGAGAGGAGGAGAGGGTGAGTTCTTTCCGCCGCGGTGGTGTCCAGTGAAAACAAGCCCCCACTTGGGATGTGGGGGAACACCCCAAAACAGTCAGTGATTCTGGCCGTCTCGGGACCCTTGTGGGAAGGCTTATGGAGGCCTCTCGAGACCCGTTAGCGCTTTGTCTGCCGACTGGATGCCATCCTGGGCGTCTCCGGCAGCTCGTGATGTGAGCGGCACGCGCGCGCTAGCTGCACGACCAGCACCGAGTCGTGTGATGTCTGCAGTGGAGCGCACGTCGTCGGCGCCTTTGGCCGATTCTTCGGCGATTCGGGGCCCTCTGGTATCGCAGGCCTAGAGGTTGACACCAACACCAATATCGGCGGTGTGCCTCCACCGAGGGGAGAAGAACCCGATCTCGGTGATGGTGGTAATCTTCTGGCTTCCAAGGTGACCTAAAGATTACCACCAGCACCGAAATCGAGGATCAGTTCCCCCTGAGGAGGCAATCCCCTGTGTTGGTGTTGGTGCCAATTTCCAGGCCTCCGATACTACTCCAGATTTCGTAATAAAGGGAGGGGGGTCTCTTTTGGGGGGGGGG